CTGTGTGTAAAAGCGTCTGTGTGTAAAAGCGTCTGTGTGTAAAAGCGCCTGTGTGTAAAAGCTTCTGTGTGTAAAAGCCTCTGTGTGTAAAAGCTTCTGTGTGTAAAAGCCTCTGTGTGTGAAAGCGTTGTGTGTAAAAGTGTCTGTGTGTAAAAGTGTCTGTGTGTAAAAGCGTCTGTGTGTAAAAGCGTCTGTGTGTAAAAGCGTCTGTGTGTAAAAATATTTGTGTGTAAAAGTGTTGGTGTGTAAAAGTGTCTGTGTGTAAAAGCGTCTGTGTGTAAACGTGTTTGTGTGTAAAAGTCTCTGTGTGTATTTGCGTCTGTGTGTAAAAGCCTTATGCGTGTAAAGTCTCTGCTGTGTAAAAGTGTTTGTGCTGTAAAAGTTCTGTGTGTAAAAAAGTCTCTGTGTGTAAAAGCGTCTGTGTGTAAAGCTGTGTGTAAAAGTCTCTGTGTGTAAAAGCGTCTGTGTGTAAAAGCGTCTGTGTGTAAAAATATTTGTGTGTAAAAGTGTTGGTGTGTAAAAGTGTCTGTGTGTAAAAGCGTCTGTGTGTAAACGTGTTTGTGTGTAAAAGTCTCTGTGTGTATTTGCGTCTGTGTGTAAAAGCGTCTGTGTGTAAAAGCTCTGTGTGTAAAAGCTTCCGTGTGTAAAAGCCTCTGTGTGTATAATAAAAGCGTCTGTCTGTAAACAGTTCTGTGTGTAAAAGCGTCTGTCTGCAACTTTACGAAAGATACGATGCAAACTATTGTCTTGTACTTGTAATATATTGTTTTGAAACTACTCTTCTCGTCTGCCTATAATACATCTTCAATATATTGTCTTGTAATTTAGTGTCTCCATACTAGCAACAGAAGACTTTGCTCGTCTACGCTCTCGGGCCATCCGTCGTCTAGTTGATGACAATCGCCTACGTTGGGTGGATTGGTCCAAGTGCACGTCAGGAGCTTGCTGGGGACAAGAAGGAACATACTTTTACGGTCAGCAATGGCACGATCAAGGTGGATTCCAAGCCTCAGGAAGTCCAAGCTGACACTGCAACAGATGTGCTCATGCAGTATGCCTTGATGCGCAGGGCTCTGGCCTTTGATCAGGCGAATTTGATTGAGTTCACAAAGTTCATGAAGTGGTCAGACAGATTGATGAAGGCAGGATTGGACAAGCCTCCGCCAGGGTTCCAGAGGCCCTCCATCAAACAGCTCATGGCAGCAGACACCAAGTTATTTGAGGAGATGGTGGATCTCACTCGACAAGGGATCACTCCTAAAGGGCGACCATTAAATCTGGTTTTGGACCAGTGCATGGCGATGCATGAGGTGGCAATGTTAATTCAGCCCAGGCAGTTTTCCAGAAGTGAGTCAACGTATGAGAAGGTGAAAGGCGGCGGATCACGTGGAGGACCTTCCCCATACTCCAAGGGCAAAGGCAAGGGGAAAGGAAAGTCCAAATCAAAGGGTCCTAATGTGTTCACTCGCATGCCACATGAGCTTATTGGATGCAACCCCAGGTCGCGAAAGGTGAAAATTTTTGTTTCTCCTTCAATTTGGGACGATGTAATGGGAAAGTTGACAAAGGACGTTGTCCCAGGGGTTTGCATGTTTGTTGTGTGCTCCACAATGCGGTGGAGCTCATGCAGCTATTACTTGCGAGAAGTTGCTGTCGAAGAACGGCAAAAACTGAAGTGAGGTTTTGCATGGAACTAACCAGCGTATGAAGGGTGATGGTGAATGTATTGATTTGATCCCTGACAGACTGGTTGAATTAGAAGTTGGAACCGAAGTTGTTCCACAATTGGTCACAGGACCCAGTGACCAGGCCACAGAACCCAATGGCCAATTAATGAAGCCTTCCGGGGCTCTCGCGTCAGAACTGACCGAGAAGGTGGAACCCTCAGTGGGCTCCAATGTAAGTAGATGGGCCCCACCCTCTGAGGGTGCGGGGTTTGCCCAGACAGTCGATGCGAACTGTCAGCCTCCGATGTGTGGGGTCAATGAAGTGATTGGGACAGTCGATGTGCACTGTTCGCCTCCGATGTGTGGGGCAAGTGAAACCAATGAGACAGTCGATGTGCACTGTCTGCCTCCGATGTGTGGGGCGTCAATTTTGACACAAGGCGAGGTGAGTCGCCAGGGCGACGTGAGTCGCCAGCCTCCGATGTGTGGGGCATCCAATTGGACACAAGGCGAGGTGAGTCGCCAGCCTCCGATGTGTGGGGCGCCAGATTTGGCAGAGGGCGAGGTGAGTCGCCAGCCTCCGATGTGTGGGGCGCCAAATCTGGCACAAGGCGAGGTGAGTCGCCAGGGCGAGGTGAGTCGCCGGCCTCCGATGTGTGGGGCGCCTCCAATGTGTGGGGCAGAAGATTTTGATGATTCTTTTTTCGGTGAAAATCCTGGCTTGGATAGTTGCCCAGTTTTGCCTGTGCGGGAACCTGTTTCACAAAATGATCTTAAACCCCTCAAGAAAGCTATTTTTATTGAGCTTTGTGCAGGGTCGGCCAAACTCTCAGCAGCTTGTGCTCGGGCGGGCCGGCCTAACAGCAGTTGCAGTGGACCAGCATTCAAACCGACACCGTCCTCACCATCATGTTATGAATTTGGATCTTTCAGACGAAGGTTCATGGCAACTGCTAAGACGTATTTGTGAGACACATGACGTTATTTGGGTACATATATTGCACCTCCTTGTGGTACTGCCTCCCGTGCTAGAGATCGTCCTCTTTCTTCGACACGGTTTGGCCCCAGGCCTTTACGATCAGCACAGTTTCCTATGGGATTACCGGGACTTTACGGGTCAGATTTGGAGCGTGTGCAACTTGCCAATCGTATTTATTTGTTGGCAGCTGATTTTTGCGCATGGCTATCCAACAGGAATATTGACTGGTCAGTGGAGAACCCTGGACGTTCTTATTTGTGGGAGTTGCCGTGCTTTATTCGACTTCGTTCTTTGGCTTTATTTTACGATTTTGACAGTTGCATGCATGGTGGTGAGCGAGCAAAATTTACGAGCTTTCTCTCCACGTCTCCGGCTTTGGGAGCGCTATGTCTACGATGCGATGGTTCCCACGACCATTTGCCATGGGGAGTATTGCCGGATGGCACTTTTTCTACTGCTGCTGAGGCTGAATACCCTACTTTGTTGTGCTCTCGCCTAGCCGAGGCCGTGGTTGCGTCTGCTGTGACGCGTGGATACTCTATGCCTGAGACCATTGAACAGTCCGACCACTTGCAGCTGAATGCGATGGCAGTACATCGACAGGCCACTAAGTCGATGCCGCAGTATCTCTCCGAGTTTGCCTATGTGACTGAAGTGCTGGTGACAAAGTCCGAGCCGGTGTTGGATCACAAGGGCAAGCTTATACAACCCTTCCATTTTGTGCCTGCTGGCGCTAAGCGTCTTAAGACAGTACGTAAGCGAGTTGGGAAGGATTTCTGGTATTTTGATGTTTGGAGTTTATAGAACCCCCCTTCAATTTGTGAACGACGCTCTCTTGCTTCCTCATCCATTTGACATGTTTTGCGATGTACCTGACTGTGTGTTGAGATTGATTTTTATGATATTGACCAAGGGTCCTTTGGATATGGCAAAATACAGGATGGGAAAAATCAGTCAATGGAGAAACTGGTTGGAGGAACTGGCTTCCCAGGAGAGGACACTCCATGACAACATGGACACTGAAGTTGGAATGGTCTTGAAGTCCAAGAACATTTTGCTCTTGGAAAGGATTGCCAAAGATTTGGATTGGCCGGACAGAGCTATCTTCACAGAGATGTCCCAGGGTTTTTACCTTACAGGGATCCCGAAACCAACAGGCGTATTTTTGCCAGAGGCGGCTTTGCCAACTATGACAGTGGAACAATTAGAAGAATCCAACAGTATTATCAAGATGCAGCTTTGGGATAGGATTTCGAATGCTGAAGCTGACCCGGAAGTATGGGACATCACGGTGAAAGAAGCGGAGGACAATGGTTGGTTGTGTGCCCCTATGAATTTTGAACAGCTGGAGCAGAAGATGGGTTCGAACTGGGTGCCAGTGCGCAGGTTCGGTATTCAACAGTCCGGCAAGACCAGAGTCATTGACGACTTCAGTGAGAATGGTACTAATTCGGCATTTGCGGCACAGGAGAAGATTGACCTGAAGGCGCTGGACCACCTGGCTTGGTGTGGGGCGACGTTGGCAAAAGCTGCTTTTGTATCAAGGACGGTTGATCTGAAGTTGTCCGACGGTAGTCGCCTATCTGGTCCAGTCCACAGCCTTTGGAACCCCGCCACGGAGAAGATCCTTACGAAGACAGTCGACCTCAAGTCGGTCTACAAGCAGCTGGCAATTCACCCGTTGGAAAGGAGGAGGTCAGTGATTTGTATCAAGGATCCGAAGTCGGGACGAGTGTTTGGATTTGTCAGCAGGACTTTACCTTTCGGAGCAGCTGCTGCCGCAGTTTTGGCTTTCAACAGGGTTGCCCGTTTGGTTTGGAGGATCTTGATAGAAGCGGGTGTTCTGTGTACCAACTATTTCGATGACTACCTGACTACCCTGTTTTGGATTTTTCGTCGACAGCTGGTGTTACGGTACACGCGATTCGTTCTGTCATGGCGCTGCTGGGTTTCAAATGCTCAGTTGACAAAGAGATGGAGTTCGAGGAAAGAACGGACATGTTGGGTGTCTGTGTGGACACGTCCAAGGTTAGTGGTGGATCTGTTTTGATTTCAAATAAACCCTCCAGGGTCAAAAACTTAAGTGGAAACATTGAGGAAGTGATCAGAGCAGGTCGCATCAAGAGCTCAGATGTTGCGAGGCTATTTGGACGTCTTCAGTTTGCCGAGCACCAACTATCTGGCAGGATAGGCAAACTGGCCTTGGCCGAATTGAGACACCTGGAGGACTGTAAAGGAAGTGTCTGGCTTTTGGATGAGGACGCCAAGAGTGAGCTGGACCTTTTGAAATTTCGTTTGTGCCACCATCCACCGCGTAAACTCAACTCTTGTGACCCTGAGGTTCCGGTGTTCGTTTTTCCAGACGGAGCTTGCGAGCCGGCAGATGACGGGTCGTATTTGTCATCGGTTGGAGGAGTATTGATATGTGGCAGTGTCAAGCAGTATTTTGGTGGTCGCTTGGACGGATCTTTGGTGAACAGGTGGATGGATGACAAGAAGAATATTATTGGTTTGGTGGAGCTTTATGCTGTTGTTTTGGCAAGGTATCATTGGGACAGTTTATTACGAGGGCGACGAGTGGTATTTTTTGTGGACAACGTTCCTTCGATGAGATCGCTTATTAAAGGTACATCCTCAGAGAAGCAGTGGAGAGAATTATTGCGGAGACTTGAATTTGTCGAGATGAAGGGACCTACATATTCTTGGTTTGCAAGGGTGCCCTCCGATTCGAATATTGCTGATGGTCCGAGTCGAGATGATTTTTCTGGTCTCGAACAATTTGAAGCTACAATGCCAGTATGTATATTCTCACGTTCGTTGATTCAGTGGTAATGCGTCGTAAGTGAAGTGGGAGTGTTATGCTACCTGTGTGGTGGATTTTTTTCAATGTATGGATGCAACCTGTGTTGGGTTGTTATTGCACAGATGCGCAAAGATGCATATGGATGGAATTTGAATTCAGATGATTTGTCCCCGAGAAAAAGAAAGTGCGTAATATCAAGTGCGTGATTGAAGATTATTGAAAAGAATGGTTTTCCTTTGTAACTGGTCCATGTGGGCCTACGTGTTGAGACTGTGCGGGGGTGCGTTTTGTTGACGTTGATACGTTTTCTAGTAAAGCGTGATGCGTTGGAGACGTTGTGCACTAGTTGTGCCATAAGCTTCTTGTTGGCTTGCCAATAGAGTTTTATGGCTAAGACGTATAGGGTTGAACACAAACCCGGTGCACAATGGTGGCAAGGAGATGAGTCCTTGTGTAGGGAGGTGATTCCCTCTGAGTGAGAAGTGGAAGTTAGTATTGACTTCTGAATGATAGTTTGTTGATGTGGTATCAAGGAACAAAACTGAGTGTTACTGTTGGGGTGTAGTTTGGTGATGTTTGCAACCCTGTAGGTTACAAGATATTCTATTCAGAGGAATGTGAACTGCTTCAATGTTGTGAACTTTTTGAACCAAAACTTCGGCTGAACTTTTATTCATTTTGTGGGATGATGCCTGCTTTGATGATCGATGCAGTGGTGGATGAGATGCTGTCTGTGGAATTAGTGCGTGCCTTTCTCGTGGTCACTTCGTGGTGCTGAAGTTCTATCTCATGTGTCCATTTTGGATCAAGTTGGATGTGTGAAACAGTGTTGTTCGATTGGGTTGAGATTTTTTTCCTCACCCTCCCACCCTGGTTTGCAGGTTATTCATTCGATGGCCGCATCCTCGTCCAAAGCACGTGCTCGGCCTATCCCTCGCGATGTGAATTCTTCTGATGAGAGTTCCCACGAGATTTTGGAGGATGCTAACATTCTACCTCGTCAGTTCTCCTTATTATCTCCGCGTTTGCCACGGTTACATTCCATCAAGGGTCCCTTCAAACTGGTGTTGGGTGGCATTTTGGTGAACCCTCCGCGTAGCCGTACCAGAAAGACCGAGTTCAAGCTCATCGAGCGTCTCCCAGATATTTTACAAGGTCAGCTCAAATTTTATCGAGATGATGGACCTGTTTATCGCCCTCTGACACTGGTTGCGGGCGGCTCAGCTACTGGAGCATGGAGGAAGGTTTTCTGTGCGAACGAGTACCCTCGACTGGTCTTCAAACTCATGCCCTCCACTGAGGACATGAGTTACACCACGGAAGAAATCCGTGCATTCAGGCAGATCCCTGATTACACGGCGCAATTTGTCCAAGAATTTCATACGTGGCTGCGTGGCTTTCTTTAGCTGAACCAGATCGACCCGAAGGAGCCCCACACAGACCAGTCAGTCAGATCCATTTTCATATTTTGGTATGTGAAAGGCTGATACCATGTGCCCAAGCCGACTTCACTGGATTAGATCCTGAGGAGGTTGCCTATCGCCTAGCCCTTGCTGTTGCCGTTGCCTCCAATCGTGGATTCCGCTGGGAGTGCTTCTGGACACAGTCAAAGTTTTTGGAGTGCAGCAGGAGCCTTGCGATTTTCTGGACAAAGCCTGCAGCCTGCAACATCTCCTAAATCCTGCGTTGGTGCTTCCAGAAGTTCTGGATGCAGCCATCAAGTTTACCACAACACAAGGGTTTCAGGCAGTAGCTAAAGGCAGAGTGGATTTCTTCAGAAAGTGGCATGCAAGAGCAAAGGAACTGGAACAAACTGAGTTGGATATGCGTAGCAAGATGGATGAGCATGTCAACAAAGCTGTTGAGGGCAAGCGTCTGGCATATGTTGGCTTATTATCAATACCCCGATTTGCAAGTGATTGAAGAGCTGACAAACGGTGCTGATTGACGGGGGATGTGCCGGAAACAGGGATGCTTCCTTTCAAGTTTGTTCCAGCGGTGCTCACTACAGAAACTCTTAAGGTTCACTCTTCCCTTAGGAGACAGCACTTGTTTGCACAGTGCAATGGCTCAGGAGATGCGGAGGTTGACGCTGAAGTTTGGAGGCAGACAATTGAGGAGCGAGATAAAGGATGGCTAAAAGGCCCCCTGAAGCTTGAGGAAGTTCCTGATGAAGCTCCTATTTCTCGTAGGTTTGGCTTGAAGCAACGACATAAGGTGAGACTGATCGACGACTTTAGCGAGTCATCAGTCAATAGCACTGTTACTGTATATGAGACGCCAGTCCTACACACGGTTGACGTTGCTTGTGCTGTTTTGATGCAATGGTTTGCTTGTGCAAAAGGAACACGCTTTTGGCAAGAACCTTTGACCTGTCCAGTGCGTATCGCCAAGTGGGGTTGAACAAGCTTGGTAGAGATGTTTCATATATCAGAGTTTACAATCCTGAAGAAGGTTGCATGGTGGTGTTCCAAGTGCAAGTGCTTCCGTTTGTGGCCATAAAGAGCGTACACTCATTTCTCAGGCTTGCCCGTGCCATATGGTGGCCAGGCACTGTTGGCTGCAATTTGCTTTGGTCGTCATTCTTCGACGATTATATAGTGTTCAGTCCTCCAGCACTTGCAAGGAGCTCAGAACTTTCGGCTATTGCTTTATTCAAGCTACTGGGTTGGTTGTTTGCTGAAGATGGTAGTCGAAAATGCAAGCCTTTTGACAGCATTTGCGAGGCACTTGGTGTTTTATTTGATTTGAAGGATTCCTGTAACTTTACTTGCAAAGTGACGAACACTGCGTCGCGCATTGAAGTTTCTCTGGAAATTCAGCGCATCCTTGCAGCAGGAACAATTTCTCAGGTGGAGGCGCAAAAGCTCAGGGGTAGGATGCAATTCGCTGAGTCGCAAATTTTTGGCAGAACTGGTAGGAGATGTATCTCATGTTTGAAAGACTTTGCCTGTCGCGGAAGATCTCGTGTGACTCCTAGAGATGCCTTGTTTTTGAAACTCTTTGTCAGCCGCGGGAGATTTCGCTGCAGCATGACGCATCCATTGTGATGATTACTGACGCCTGCTACGAGAGAGAATCTAGAGATCTTATCTGTGGACTTGGAGGAGTACTTGTTGACAATGCAAATGGTTTGAAACTGTTCTTCTCGTGCCAGCTTTCTGAGTCACAACGAAATTTGTTGGGAGAATTGCAGAAAAAACAGATTATATAGTTTTGAGGCAGAGACGTTGTGCGCTTTGCTTGCTTACCCTTTGTGGAAAGACATCTTTTCCAAACGCATGTGCTTTCTTTATGTTGACAACGAAGGAACGAAATTTAGCTTGATGAAGCGTTCATCAGAGAACCATGCAGTCGATGTGATGGCACAGATTTTTGCAGAAGTCGAGACGCATGTTAGAACTTTGTGCTGGCTGGCAAGGGTTAGTTCTTTCTCGAACATTGCCGATGCCCCGTCGAGAGGAGACTGCAGTTTGTTGAAGCAATTGAAATTTCACGATGTTTCTTTGGAAACCACTCGCTGTTTGGATAGCATTTGCACGGCCATGGAAGCAAAGTTGGGGAGAGAGGCTGGTCGCGCAAAGCCCAAAGTGTAAAACAGAGTGCGTTGCAGATTGCATGAGTGGCGAATGAGAATAACTAGCTGTCGCTTGAGACAATTGCTTATTCGAGTTGTGAATTGGTGACAATTCAAATGAATGCAATATTTGGCTTGGAGGGCGGGCGGGTGGGCCCCTCGTTATTTGCAGCTCTTTTGAACCCACCGCCTTCCCCTTACACCTCCTTGTTGGACCAGATTCGTTGCCTAACCCACAGCCTAAGAGAGGCTGGTCGTGCAAAGCCCAAAGTGTAAAACAGAGTGCATTGCAGATTGCATGAGTGGCGATGGAGAATTAACATAAAATAAAAATAAATAAACTAATTGATTAATTATTTAATTAACAAATAAATATATTAATTAATATATATTAGCTTTTTTTAAAGTCTCGTAAAAGGTGTTTTTCAAGCCTCTAGGCAAAGAGTGAACGTAGGGGGTACGAGTGCAAATGAACGTGGTGACGGACGTGCGTACGACCCAGCGTACGTGTAAGCGTACGAGTGGACGGACGCGTGACGTACGAGTGGACGGACGTGTGCGTACGAGTGGACGGACGTGTGAGCGTACGTACGTGCGTTGACACGTTCACTCGTCACGTGCGCCCGCACGTGCGAAAATAAGGTCGACTCGAGTCGACCTTATTTCTGTACGTCTCGGCTTTTCCTTACATATATAGTATTGGGAAGATTCAGACGTACAGAAATAAGGTCGACTCGAGTCGACCTTATTTTCGCACGTGCGGGCGCACGTGACGAGTGAACGTGTCAACGCACATACGTACGCTCACACGTCCGTCCACTCGTACGCACACGTCCGTCCACTCGTACGTCACGCGTCCGTCCACTCGTACGCTTACACGTACGCTGGGTCGTACGCACGTCCGTCACCACGTTCATCTGCACTCGTCACCAGACGTACGCTCTCCAAGATCACTACCTTTTACGAGACTTTAAAAAAAGCTAAAATATATAATCCAAAAAAACATGAAAAAATTCCAGCCTTTTTGATTTACGGCATGTGTTCGTATCTGGGTTAATTTTAGTTTGCGTTTGCGAGAAACAATGCCATGTATCTCAGTTTTCTGCCGCTCACAACAATCCCTCCCAAAATATAACAGAATAGACGACACGGGAAAACAATACGGAAGTATCAAGTCTGGTTCAACGTTGGCCTTGAAGAAAACATGCTTTACAGATGTGAAAAAACACTGGTTTTTGCCCTGGCAAACTGCACACGGTAAAACCTAGGAAATAGGTAGCTGTGTAGTTAGA